TTTTTTTTTTTTTTGAAAAAGCTAAAATTATGGCAAAGTAGGTATCTTTCGCTGACTTTATTTTGCCTGGAAAAAAGTTTCAGGACCTTCTGCCCACCGGAACCCAACCCCTCCTTGCCTCATTCCAGACGTGGCAAAAAAAAGGCAGCAGAGGGAGAGAGAAAGGCTCTTTGCACATGCTCAGAGACTCTAGGTGTCGGTCGTTCCCCCTTGCCATTTGCCTGGAAAAAAGTTTCAGGACCTTCTGCCCACCGGAACCCAACCCCTCCTTGCCTCATTCCAGACGTGGCAAAAAAAAGGCAGCAGAGGGAGAGAGAAAGGCTCTTTGCACATGCTCAGAGACTCTAGGTGTCGGTCCTTCCCCCTTGACAGACACCCAAAGCAAGCCTGGGTGGCTGCTGGGAGAACCTGGGCCTCTGCTTTGAGGGGGGGGCTCCCCATTGCACAGAAAGGGGCCTCTGGAGGGCCTCGTGCTGTTAGCTCACTTTGGGGAGGGGGGTGCCCTTACACACCCACCCCCAACCCGTCGCCACACTGGGTGTGTGCCCTCTGCCAGGGCCTGCAATTCTGGGCAGCTTTACTCAAGGGTGGTTGCATCCACCCTTTCCCTCCTTGCGGCTGGGAGGAGCAGAGGGGCTTCTGGGTGGGGGCGGTGCTGACAGACACCCCCCCCCGGGGGGAGCCACATGGAGGGGAGCTCTGAGATCCAGACTCGGGTGACCAACTTCATGATCAAAAAGCCACTGGTGGTTCCGTTCATGGAGCGTACTGTATATCCCTGGGATGGGTTTTGGAAAGCTTTTACGGATGACTTGGTGGAGAGGGGAGAAGGGGGTGGTGTTGGGGGGTGGCGGCGTGGGCAATGGCTGTGCAACAAAAATAGATTTGGTCGCTGGCCGGGAGAAACACACAAAGCCAGAAGGATCTGGGCCCCCAGAGCCATTGAACAGCCTGCGTGCATCTCTGTGTGTTCTCACAAGCATCATGGTGCTATTTCTGCACCAACAACACTCTGCATCGCCCTCAGTGACCTCTCTCGGAGCGCGGCAGCCGTCCTGGCAAAGGCCAAGTGGGATTAGACGGCCGGGCCCAGAAGCTCCGAGAGCGTCCTGCCAGATTCTCCAGGCAAGTCCACGGGCTGGGCCTTATGGAGACCCCTCACCCTCTGCTTCTTTGTTTGGCAATTGGGGGGGGGGTAGACTGCCTCTGGCCAAGGAGGCCCACGACAGACCTAAGATCCATGACAATTGCAGCCTCTTGTGGCAATGAGTTCCAGGGGCGGCTTTTTGGCTTTTGTACTGTACTTTGGTTTCGGGTTTTTTCTAAGGGTGCGCCAGCTGAACAAAATCCCTCCGCCTTGCTAGTCCAGAGCCTACTGCCAAACCGTTCTGTAGAATGCTGACTTTTCCCATCTGACCTGCGACCGCCCTGTTTTACGCCGGAGCAGAGACAGGGGAGGCGGGTGGACAAAGCGTAGAAGGCTTTTCTTGGCCCTTGAACCAAGGCCCTGCCACCAATAATGTTACCCTTTCTCTCCATCCCTGGTACTTTGAGGTCTGTGAAAGTGCTGCCTGAGGGCCGCCCTTTGGGGCAGGCTGCGAAGGCAGGCCATTGGGGCAGGCCTGGGGGACCCCCTTCCCAAAGACAGGAGGGGGGGTCCTTAGGAAGAAGCAGCCAGACCCCCCCTTTCTCCCAGGAAGGTTCTTCAGGTTTGTCCTCCAGACACTCTTCCCCAATGAAGGATGGATGTGGGGTTCCCTTCTGCCCCCCCCATTCCTGGTTGATGGATGCTGTGGGGGAAATGGGGGTGAGAAAGCAAGCGCCTCGGGGCTGTGAGCTGATCCCCTGGAAGGGACTCTCCTTTGTTCCAAATTAGTTCACGTTGGGGGGGGGAAGGACCTTGAACAGGGTTTGGGAAGCAGACGTGAGCGAGAGCTTCCGAGGTGGCGGCCAGCCTGGAGGTCCTTACCAGGGATCTCCAGTGGGGGCCAGGGGGGTGGGTGGTCGAGGGCCAAAGAGGTAGGCGGCTTTGGGTCTGAGCTTGGACTTTGCATGTGCTCAGGCCCCCCCCCCCTCCGGCTGTTAAGAGAGCCCCGGCCAACCCAGTGCGGGAGGTGGAATTTCTGGCCATGCTGCTGGGGGGGGGGAGACGCATGGGGTGGTCGGAGAGGTGGGTGAACTGGGTCCTCCCTGCCCCACCGCCCCTACTCAGGGTCCTGCTGGCTGTGGGGTAGCAGGCCACATTTCGGAGAGTGGGTGGGACCAGGAAGCCGGAGAGGGTCAGGAAAAGGAGGTGACGTGGAAAGGGTGGGAGAAGGGGAAAGAGAGGAGGGGAAAAGGGACGGAGGGACGGAGGGAGGGAGGGAGGAGAAACAGCAGGAAGGGGTGGGCGATGGAGCCCGGCCTGTCAGCAG